TGGCAACCATAGCGTGCAGTCTGCGACTTCCCATACAAATGGTATTAATTTGCTTACTTTGGAAACCAAAAAACAAGTAATCGTTGTCAAGATTTACACGCAGGATCCTTTCGACTGCGAATCCGGCGTTGTGACTATCGTCTGAGCAGCTATCAACGCCATCAGTACAAAATACAAGACGCCATAAGAACGAAAAGGGCACCAGGATAAACTCAATCTTCGGGGGCAACAATGGAAACATCCGGCAAAAGTTTCCGCAACATTTTTTTTAGGAGGGAAGAGCGCGACAAAGAATAATGAAATTACAAACCATTTCAAATTCGATGAAAATTTACTTCTTGCATATTGTATATACTTCGCCTCTATTCAATTTGCTAGATTTATGCTTATTACTGCATTCCTGGCACATGAACCCATTTTCTTTCATCATATCGCTGGCGAAACGTTAAGGAGACATCGGCACTAGAAACTCGCAGTGAGTCAATGAGCACAACACCACTACTGTCAACAGAAATAAAGCCGAATACATTTCCGAACCATCGAGTTACTGTCTGCATAAGTGCTTCCATGTACCTACGAACTAGAAGAAGGTAACATAAGCCTTGAAGCCAAGAGTGGATGAGGTGTCAAATTCTCATAATCAAATTATCATCAAATTCTGCAGTCGATCAACACTTACTTAGTTGATATAGCACTATGGTGAATGAAGATGAGATAGTTGGCTTACTCTCTAATTTTAATTATAGCTAACGGTAATAAATAGTTTATGCTAATTTGAATAAAGTTATTCAAATTACGCTGTTTATCCTACGTAAATGCAAAATATTGTGGAGGATTCGTAATCAGCATTCTACAGGAAGTTAGAAATCGGCGATATGAAAGACAGTTAATACAGATTAGTCCAGGCAAGACAATCTATATAGATTTTACTGATCCTTGATGTCGAAGCCTTCAGCTGCCCTACAACTAACTTCGTACAGAAAAGAGTACTTCCATGCAGATATCGCACCGAATCATTTCGAAAATTAGTAGTCCAGTTCAGTCAGGTGACTCAACAGTAACGACCGTGTAGAACAGGATTGGGATCGCCTGATATCGC